GGTTCTGGGGATACAAGTGTAAATGTAGGAGGAGTCCTGGGGTTGACTGTGTTAATGTGGAAGAGTTCTGGGGATGGTAAGTGTACTGTAGGAGAGTCCTGGGCGATGGCAAGTGTAATGTAGGAGTGTTCTGGGGATGACAGGTTGTAATGTAGGAGAGTACGGGGATGTAAAGGTGTAATGTAGCGAGAGTTCTGTGGGATTGACAGGTGTGACTGTAGGAGAGTCCTGGGGGATGACAAGTGTATGTAGGAGAGTTCGGGATGACAGGTGTAATGTAGGAGAGTCCCTGGGGAATGACAAGTGTAAATGATAGGAGGGTTCTGGGGATGAAAAGGTGTAATGTAGGAGAGTCCTGGGGATGACAGGTGCAATGTAGGAGAGTCCTGGGGATGACAGGTGTAATGTAGGAGAGTTCTGGTGATGGCAGGTGTGATGTAGGAGAGTTCTGAGGATGACGGTGTTAATGTAGGAGCGAGTTCTGGGGATGACAGGTGCTGATGTAGGAGTTCTGGAGATCCCACAGGTGTAATATAGGAGAGTTCTGGGAATGACAGGTGTGATGTAGGAGAGTTCTGGGGATGACAGGTGTAATGTAGGAGAGTTCTGGGGATGACAGGTGTAATGTAGGAGAGTTCTGGGGATGACAGGTGTAATGTAGGAGAGTTCTGGGGATGACAGGTGTAATGTAGGAGAGTTCTGGGGATGATTGGACAGGTGTTAATGTTGGGAGAGTTTGGGGATTGACAGGTGTAATGTTAGGAGAGTCCTGGGGATGACAAGTGTAATGTATTGGAGAGTCTGGCGATGGGACCAAGTGTAATGTTGGGTGAGTCCTGGGGATGGACAAGTGTTAGTAGGAGGTCCTGGGGGCCGACATGGTGGAATGTGGGAGAGTTCTGGGGATGGACAGGTTTAATGTGGAGAGTCCTGGGGATGACAAGTGTAATGTGGAGAGTCCTGGCGATGACAAGTGTAAAGTAGGAGCGTTCTGGGGGATGACAGGGTGTAATGTAGGAGAGTCCTGGGGGATGATCAAGTGTAATGTAGGAGTGTCCTGGCGTGACAAGTGTAATGTAGGAGAGTCCTGGGTTGACAAGTGTAATGTAGGAGAGTACTTTGGGATGACAGGTGTAATGTGGGAGGAGGTCTGGGGATGACAGTGTAATGTAGGAGAGTCCTGGGGATGACAAGAGTGTTGTAGGAGGAGTCCTGGGGGATGACAGTGTAATGTAGGAGAGTTCTGGGATGACAGGTGTAATGTAGGAGAGTTCTGGGGATGACAAGTGTGATGTAGGAGAGTTCTGGGGATGACAAATGAGATGTAGGAGAGTCCTGGGGATGTCAAATGTAATGTGGGGGGGGGGGGGAGTCCTGGGGATGACAGGTGTTAATGTAGGAGGAGTCCTGGGGATGAAGGTGTAACTTAGGAGAGTTCTGGGGATGGACAGGTGTAATGTAGGGAGTTCTGGGGATGACAAGTGTAATGTAGGAGAGTCTGTCGGGATGACAGGTGTATGTTAGGAGAGTTCTGGGGATGACAGGTGCCATGGTAGGAGAGTTCTTGGGGATGACAATGTGTAATGTAGGAGAGTCCTGGGGATTGAAGGTTCGGTAATTGGGAGTTCTGGGGATGTCAGGTGTTTAATGTAGGTGTGTTCTGGGTTGGCAGGTGTAATGTAGGGAGTTCTGGAGCGATGACATGTGTAATGTAGGGAGAGTTCTGGGGGATGACAGGTGTAATGTAGGAGAGTTTTCTGGGGATGACAAGTGTAATGTAGGAGGAGTTCTGGGGATGGATGACAGGTGTTATTGTAGGAGAGTCCTGGGGATGACAAGTGTAATGTAGGAGGTTTGGGAGATGACAAGTGGTAATGTAGGAGGAGTTCTGGGGATGACAGGGTGTTAATGTAGGAGAGTTCAGGGATCGACAAGGTAATTGTAGGAGAGTCATGGGGGGATGACTAGGTGTAATGTAGGATGAGTCCTGGGAATGACAGGTGTAATGTAGGAGAAAGTTCTGGGGGATGGACAGTGTTGTAATGGAGGGTGAGTTTTGGGGTTGGCTAGTGTAATGTTGGAGAGTTCTGGGGATGACAGGTGTATGTAGGAGTCGGTCCTGTGCAATTGAAAGTGTAATGTAGAGAGGTCCTGGGATGGACAGGTGTAATGGTAGCGAGAGTTCTGGGGATGACAGGTGTTAATGTAGGGAGAGTTTTGGGGATGGAAAGTGTAATGTAGGAGAGTTATGGGGATGACGGTGATTGTAGGAGAGTCCTGGGGATGACAAGTGTAATGTACGAGAGTTTGGGGACTGACAGGTGTAATGTAGGAGTGTTTTTGGGGATGACAAGTGTAATGTAGGAGAGTCCTGGGGATGACAGGTGTAATGTAGGAGAGTCGTGGGGATGACAAGTGTAATGTAGGAGAGGTCTGGGGATGACAGGTGTAATGTAGGAGTGTCCTCGGGATGACAAGTGTAATGTAGGAGAGTCCTGGGGATGACAGGTGTAATGTAGGAGAGTTTCTGGGGATTGACAGGTGTAATGTAGGAGAGTTTTGGGGATGGCAAGTGTAATGTAGGAGAGTTCTGGGGATGACAGGTGTAATGTAGGAGAGTCCTGGGGATGACAGGTGTAATGTACGAGAGTTCTGGGGATGACAGGTGTAATGTAGGAGTGATTTAGGGATGACAAGTGTAATGTAGGAGAGTCCTGGGGATGACAGGTGTAATGTAGGAGAATTCTGGGGATGACAAGTGTAATGTAGGAGAGTCCTGGGGATGACAGGTGTAATGTAGGAGAGTTCTGGGGATGACAGGTGCCATGTAGGAGAGTTCTGGGGATGACAAGTGTAATGTAGGAGTGGTCCTGGGGGATGACAGGTGATTAATGTAGGAGAGTTCTGGGCGATGACAGGTGTAATGTAGGAGAGTTCTGTGGGGATGACAGGTGTAAGTAGGAGGTTCTGGGGATGACAAGTGTAATGTAGGATGAGTCTGGGGTTGACAGTGTAATGTAGGAGGAGTCCTGGGGATGACAGGTGTAATGTTAGGAGTGTTCTGGGGTTGATGACGGTGTAATGTAGGAGAGTCCTGGGTGACAGGTGTAATGTAGGAGAGTTCTGGGAGGACAGGTGTAATGTAGGAGAGTCCTGGGATGACAAGTGTGATGTAATAGAGTTCTGGGGTATGACAGGTGTAATGTAGGAGAGTCCTGGGGTATGACATGTGTATTGTAGGAGAGTTCTGGGGATGGAAGGTTGTGATGTGGAGAGTCCTTGGGTGACATGTCTAATGTAGGAGAGTTCCTGGGGATGGACAAGTGTTATGTAGGAGAGTTCTGGGGATACAAGTGTGAATGTTGGAGAGTCCTGGGACTTGGTATGACAGGTGTATGTAGGAGAGTCCTGGGGATGTCTATGTGTAATGTAGGAGAGTCTGGGGATGACAGGTGTTATGTAGGAGGAGTCTGGGTGATGACAAAGTGTAATGTAGGAAGGAGTGCCTGGGGATGACAAGGTGTAAATGTAGGAGGAGTCTGGGGATGTTGAAAGTGTATTGTAGAGAGTTCTGGGGATGGATGACATGTGGTGATTAGGTGAGTCTGGGGGATGACATGTGTGATGTAGGAGAGTCCTGGGGATTGACAAGTGTGATGTAGAGAGTCCTTGGGTTGACAAGTCTATTGTAGGAGAGTCCTGGGGATGACAGGTGTAATGCAGGAGAGTTCTGGGGATGACAGGTGTAATGTAGGAGAGTTCTGGGGATGACAGGTGTAATGTAGGAGAGTCCTGGGGATGACAGGTGTAATATAGGAGAGTTCTGGGGACATAATTACTGAACAGAGAAGATGGTTCAGTGCTAGAATGTCTTCATTGTATATTTTGGACTTTATTTTTAATTCAGTATATTTTAATTTTTGTGTAAAATTTTTAAATTTCTGAATTATGTGTTTGTCATAGGATAGTTAAAATAATTGAATGGTTGTTTTTTGTGCTCATATGATAGAACAGAAGGATACTAGTAACATAGCTAAGATTTTGGTCATTTGGAGTAATGCAGTTGGCTTGAAGTGTAAGAAATCACCCATGCGTGAATTGCTCTGAGATTGGTAACTTTTCATCCAAATTTATTTTTATTATGGACTGAATAACCTATAAGGGGTAAGCATTATTTTGAAAGAAATTAGTTATTTTGTTAAATTCCAAGTCAGTGTTAATTCAATTGGAAGATAGTAAGAATCCTTGATGCATTAGTTCTAGTGACATTATTTTAAAAAAAACAATTGGAACAGAGGATATGTAGTTTAAGCCTAGACCAGTGAATGTTGGCTTATGATACTCAAAAGGCTCAAAACCATTAATATTGTTTCATCATTCCTAGATATTTTAATTGTAAAGTGCCAATGGTTTTGAGATTTCTATAACAAGTAAACCACTTTTAGCTCTTATTTATTCTTGTGAGATGTTATACCTCCTTGTCCAATGTATGAAATCACTACCTACCTTTTATGAGTAACATTCAACAGTTCCTCAGTACATTCTCTCCATCTTTCAAGTATCTCAGCCTCCATATCTAACATCTCCCCTCTTTTCTTTTTAACTGCCAAGTCCATTGGTTTCCCAGACATTCCTCTCATAATTGTTTTTTATTCTAAGGAATACAGTGGACCTCCGCCTTACAATATTATTTCATTCCAGAGGTCTGTTCAGGTGCCGTTATAGACTGAATTTGTTCCCATAAGGAATATTGTGAATTAGATTAGTCCGTTTCAGACTCCCAAAAATACACGTACAAAAGCACTTACAAAAATACACTTACATAACGGGTGAGTTGAGAGCTGATCGTAAGGTGGGGGTCCACTGTATTTGATGGTTAAACCTTGCTTATTCTCTCTTTCTCTCTCTTTTGCACATCTTCACCACTCTAATAATCTCCTCTTGACATCCACAGTATTATATGAAGGTTTAAGGAAACTATAAGGGTGATTATTTTTCAGCCATTGATGTTATTGGTAAGCCAGCTTCCATGGAAGATCCACTGAGCATCCCTCAGTGTATAACTCCTGGTCCATGGAATGCCGACAGAATGTCTCTCACACAGATGGAGGTTGCCCGCAGTGTTTCGCCAATCAGCACTCAGGGTATAGTTACTAGCCAAGTCTTAAGTCTTGGTGCTAGGATTTTTTCTTGTTTGGTTTCTTTGATCTTAGATGTTAGCCTTGCATTATTTTGTTTATTTATATTGAGATAATTCTGAAATTAAGATTTTAAATTGACATGTTGCTGCTAAAAAAAATTGGTAACCAATTTGATAATAAAAATGATTAAAACCTTGAATCAAAACACATTTTGGAATGTGCCAGTATATCATGAACAAATGTGAAGCTGAATACAGAGGCATGCTGTCAACATTATTGAAGAAAAGACTCGTGTTTAGAGAGCATTGGCCTGCCACTTATAAAAGTGGTTAGGGTTCAAATCCTGTCCATTCTCTATTCCCTGAATTGTTTACAAGGGCTTTGAAGGGACTTGAGTTGGATCTGAGTGCTGTCTTATAGGTGAGAGATTCATCTACAACAACTTATATTTGTGGCCACAGTAAACATACTAACCTTTTGATTGTACTGAAAAATACTTAGAAGATATAGGTCCTAAAACGAGCAAGCCGTGTCCTTTAACCACAACAACAACACAGGTCAGTGTGCTCTAACCACACAACAACAGGTCAGTGTGCTCTAACCACACAACAACACAGGCCAGTGTACTCTAACCACACAACAACACAGGCCAGTGTGCTCTAACCACGCAACAACAGGCCAGTGTGCTCTATAACCACACAACTACACAGGCCAGTGTGCTCTTACCACACAACTACACAGGTCAGTGTGCTCTTAAAACCACACATCTACACAGGTCAGGTGCTCTAACCACACAACAACACAGGTCAGTGTGCTCTTACCACACATCTACACAGGTCAGTGTGCTCTAACCACACAACAACACAGGCCAGTGTGGTCTTAACCATAGCAAACAAAAACACAGGCCCCGTGTGCTCTAACCACACAACAACACAGCCCATTGGGGTCTAACCACACAACAAAACAGCCAGTGTGCTCTTTAAACCACACAACAACACAACAAACCAGCAGTGTGTCTAACCACACAACTACACAGGCCAGTGTGCCCCCCTTCTCTTACCACACAGCACACAGGTCAGTGTGCTCTAACCACACAAAAACACAGGCCAGTGTGCTCTCACCACACAACAACACAGGTCAGTGTGCTCTAACCACACAACAACACAGGCCAGTGTGCTCTAACCATACAACAACACAGGCCAGTGTGCTCTAGCCACACAATAACACAGGCCAGTGTGCTCTAACCACATAACAGGCCAGTGTGCTCTAACCACATAACAACACAGGCCAGTGTGCTCTAACCACACAACAATACAGGTCAGTGTGCTCTAACCACACAACAACAACAGGCCAGTTTTGCTCTAACCACACAACAACACAGGCCAGTGTGCTCTAAAAAAAACCGAACACAACAAACACAGGTCAGTGTGCTCTAACCACACAACAACACAGGTCAGTGTGCTCTAACCACACAACAACACAGGTCAGTGTGCTCTAACCACACAACAACACAGGTCAGTGTGCTCTAACCCACAAAAACCAAAAAAACACAGGTCAGTGGCTCTAACCACACAACAACACAGGTCAGTGTGCTCTAAAACCCCACAACAACACAGGTCAGTGTGCTCTAACCACACAACACAGGGCCCGTGTACTAAACCCCACAACAACACAGGGCCCTGCTCAACCACACAACAAGAGGCCAGTGGCTCAACCACACAACAACACAGGCCAGTGTGCTCTAACCACACAACAACACAGGCCAGTGTGCTCTAACCACACAACAACACAGGCCAGTGTGCTCTAACCACACAACAACACAGGTCAGTGTGCTCTAACCACACAACAACACAGGTCAATGTGCTCCAACCATACAACAACACAGGCCAGTGTGCTCTAACCATACAACAACACAGGTCAGTGTGCTTTAACCATAAAACTACACAGGCCAGTGTGCTCTATCCACACAACAACACAGGTCAGTGCGCTCTAACCATACAACAACACAGGCTTATTAAAACTCATCCGTCTACAGTAACCGTATAATGTAGATCTACATTGACATGTGTAGCGCTCTGGATGTAGATGTACGTTGACGTGCGTAGCGCTCTGGACATAGATATGTCTGATTTTACATGCTTTCTTATGTAAAAAAATGCAGATCTACAATCAGAGCGCTATGCATGTCAACATAGATCTACGTTTGGACAGTTTAAGGGTTAAGCATGTGCAGTTGAGTGGTTATAGCACTAGTCTGCTTGCAAGGTGAAATTTGGTCACAAAAACTTGCTCTGTACCAGTCTTTTTTTCAAATGTGAACCTATTGTTTATCCTGTACTCCTTCCTTTCCAGTGTAAGGCTGTTGTGTATCTTATTCTCCATCCCTTAACCATTTGAGGGTCCATCCCGTAGTTCTGCGCCTTGTCACAGGGTCCAAGAATTTTAAAAAAAAAAATTTTTTATTTTTTCTTAGGAAATGGTAGAGAAAATGTTTCCGAAGGTAAAACAAAATGTACGAAATTTAATGAAAATTGACAAAATTACGCTATTGCAAATTTTGCTCCATCAGTGATATTTATGCATCGGTGATTTTTCCTACTTTGACTCCTATTTTAGGTCAATTGCATATTGCAGTTGACCAAATTTTTAGCTATTTTGCTAGTATCGCTTCTATTTTATCAATTGAGCACAAGAAACTGCCCAATCAACTATTTCAACTACCCAGTAAAGTGATCATAAATTAGGAATTTGGCCAATTTCACACAAAGTTCCAATTTCAAAATGGGTCCAGAATAAACAGTGCAGGCATTTATGGCAGTAAAATAACATTTCCTCTGTTTATTAGTTATGTTTCCAGGCTTTAGAGATGAAATCCATTTTGATTTTTTTATTCACATAAAGAATTTTTATTCACACCAAAAAATAGAAGATTTACTGTTAGCAATATGTATAAATAATATCAGCACATTCGTGAACGTATATTAGACCCACCAGCTGATGTGTATTGGATACTTGACGTCGTTTAACTCTTGAACATCGGCAAGAATTGAACATTTCTGCTCAGTTTCAAGCTATTTTCAGTACTAAAACCAATCAAAATCATCTCTATTTCTGTAATGTATCTTCCATTCTATCAAATGAAACCATAAAACCACGAGTACAACCATGAAAGCCATTCAAGAACTCACCGCAAAGTCGGTATTTTTGTCAGCATAGTTGTATCATAGCACCATCCATATGTTTTACATACATGACCCCTTGCTAGACTCAGTGACTAGCTTGTGTGACGTTTGAGCGCTGCGCTCCCGTGATCGTTCTCACTCCAACCGTAGGTCTACGAGAAGGCAACACAGGCAGTCTGGGCTCCCCTTCTCACACTCTGCTAATATAAGTGTTACCATCCAACAAGTGTGCTTAACTCTAACCATCACATCTCCACGAACCCTCCCAACATTTTAATCCAAAAACACAATTGCAGTTATTTTTTCTCATGCACTATGTGTTACAGGATTTGTTTTAAATGGAACACACTTACCATATAAGATGTATTCTCTCATATCTAGCGCAAATTTACTGCTCAGCTTATTTGAGTGAGCTGAGCTCATGATGTAATACTACAGCTTGGACCCTGGCTTCATAGCCATAGAACTACGGGACTGATCCTCAAAGGGTAAAAATGTAAGGTTGTTGTTTATCCTGCACTCCTTCCCTTCAAATGTAAGGTTGTTGTTTATCCTGTATGTCTTCCCTTCAAATGTAAGGTTGTTGTTTATCCCTTACTTCTTCCCTTCAAATGTTGTTGTTTATCCTGTATGCCTTCCCTTCAAGTGTAAGGTTATTGTTTATCCTGTACTCCTTCCCTTCAAATGTAAGGTTGTTGTTTATCCTGTACTTCTTCCCTTCAAATGTAAGGTTGTTGTTTATCCTGTACTCCTTCCCTTCAAATGTAAGGTTGTTGTTTATCCTGTACTTCTTCCCTTCAAATGTAAGGTTGTTGTTTATCCTGTACTCCTTCCCTTCAAATGTAAGGTTGTTTATCCTGTACTTCTTCCCTTCAAATGTAAGGTTGTTGTTTATCCTGTACTCCTTCCCTTCAAATGTAAGGTTGTTGTTTATCCTGTATGCCTTCCCTTCAAATGTAAGGTTGTTTATCCTGTACTCCTTCCCTTCAAATGTAAGGTTGTTGTTTATCCTGTATGCCTTCCCTTCAAATGTAAGGTTGTTGTTTATCCTGTACTCCTTCCCTTCAAATGTAAGGCTGTTGTTTATCCTGTAGTTATTCCCTTCAAATGGAAGGTTGTTGTTTATCCTGTACTTCCCTTCAAATGTACGGTTGTTGCTTGTCCTGTACTCCTTCCCTTGAAGTGTAAGATAGTTGTTTATCCTGTACTCCATATTTTCTTTATTGACAAAGTAACCTGGTGCTGTATACACATCAGGAATTCAAATACTATTTTTTTTCTCTACATTAATTATTGATCCTCTGTTGAATTTTCTTTGGCCCAATCCCTTTCTTTCTTGCCCTTTCTTTGCTTCCTTGTTTTGCCTATGTAATACTTGGCCATGCCATAATGTGTACTATATGTAATTTTAATTAGAAATTTTTAATTACTGTATGCAAAATTTCAAAGCAGTTATCATCTCAGGTAAAATTTATGCTAAAAGTTCTTTTGTAGAAATAAATCATAGTGATAGACTTAGTGTTGCCTCATCTCCCACAAAGTTCTCAAGTGTCAACACACCAATGGAGGAACTAAGTCCACATATACTTGCAGTAAGGCTGCTTGGCTATTTACGTTTTATTTGAAGTAACTCTTACTGCATTTTTTGTCTGGCTTAGTACTTCTTTTAATGTTTTATTTATTTTAGGTTTTGCTTGTTATTCTTTATGTCAAATTTTATATAGTTTTTATAATTTTATGATATATAGAAGATTATAATGTTTAATCTTTTCCTTTTATTATACATTATAAAACAATTGCACTGTGCTTATTAGAAGACAG